ACAAAAACAAACATGATAGGTTGAAAAAAGGAAAGGGAATGCTTTGAAAAACAGTGGTCTTATTAAAAAGCATCACTTCACTCGCGGCTGTAGTAAAAAAATATTTTTTGAGTTTGAAATATTTTCAATAGAGATAAGAGTGCAATTAATATTTTGCTTGAAGAACAATTAAATGTTCTATGGTTAAAACACTTTTACATCCTTAACACTAGAATGGCCAGCATCATCACTACTCCTTCTCAGGCCATGGGGTCAGTTTGACCCCCATATTACAAATATCTAAATATTCTAGATATTTGGCATGAAACATGTTTATGACTAATATTATGTAGATTTTGTTTCAGTGATAATCATATATATTGCACAAAATATGATTTATAAAGATAATATTTTAAGATAATACTTAATTTTCTACATATTTTTCATAATAAACAAGGTCTTTTCTTAAAATAGTCCGATTTTTTAAAGCTTCTTTAGAGTGCAATTGATCTTGCACCACTGCCTGTTTTTGTTGCCCCCACTCCATCCTCATCATTCATAGAATCATCATCAATACCGTTATAACCAACCATGTCTTCTTTCAGCTTAAGTTAATAAAAAATCATGACGTGATATTTTAAATCCTGCAGCTTATATGTATAGTATCCATGAGTTTATTCTTGTCATATCCAATACATTATACAGGACCTGGAGAGGCCATCTCCTCAAAGAGACTTTTGAGGTGTTCGATTAGGCCATTTGATGTAATACATCAACCCCATATTTGGTTGTATGTAATAGACTATTGCTTCTGCAGTTTCTTCATTCCTTCAGTTACAGTGACCGATCTTTGCCATGTATTTAGAACTAGCACATTTTTGGAAGGCTTGCTCTGGTAAACAGTCAACGTCATGTTATTGCTCTTCATATTGTTGATGAATACCGAGGCTTCTTGAAGATTTGATTTGAGGAGGAATTTATCTTCGTTACAATTTACTGTACCAACAATGCTAGTCTGTTTATTGGCCAGCTTCTAAGCAAGTTTTACTGAAGTAAAGAAATTGTCAGTTGTTACGTTGTGGCCAACTACTAGAAAAGATTCCATCAGTTTGAGGAAAACAATGTTTGATCAAAGGGTCGATGAGTATCCTTCCATGATAAGGAAATCCTTCAAACAATTTTGACTTGACATCAGCTGTCAATTTTTAAGAATTCGATTCCAAACTTATATGGTTCGCAATATACTGCGTGAATGAATATTGAGCTTTTGTAGGGAATAGTTTCATGAGGCTTATAGTGAGACTTAGTTCTCAATGTAATGATTTCAAATGTAAGGCAAATTTATCATTTGAAGTCTATCAGATCTTGTTGAACGAATGTAAAATCTGATGAAACTAATCAATTCCTCATAACGTCTTCGTGATAGGTATGTCTGAAAAAGGGAGAGCCCCACGCTTTAGACCATGTTTCATCCTCTTTGGCCAAAGTCCTCTGGCATTCATAACTCAGAGGAGGTTATCAATTTTCTCATTACTGTGTTCTCCGTATTATCACAGTGTTTGTTCGTAGCTTCTGTTTCGATGCATTTGACGTTTCCAGGTACACTCTATGATGTGTTGGAACTTGTTTCAACTTGTCGTAACACACTGTCGGTTTCCTTCCCTTGAGTATAAGCGCCAGTATAAGACACTTTGACAATTGGAGGTCAAAATGACCCCCGGCCGCCTGCCGAGGATGTACACTCTATATCTTGGAAATTAATTAAGATAGCGTCTGTTTTTTTCTGTGTACATCTCATATAAAAATAATAAAAGTCGTGAGATTTTAGGACTACCTGGAAACAAACAAAAAGTATTAAATCGAAAAGTTAGAATGGGGGTCAGATTGACCCCCTGGCCGTTTTAGTGTTAACACATGTTGTATAAACATCTCTCATCACCCAAAATGGCATTTTTTTGTGGTGAAGAATGAAGTTACTTGGCCTAATAAGTCAATAATGGATTTTGGGTTGTAATGAGGTTAGAATAATATTAAATTTTTGCAAATAATAATATTAATCAAAATCATGTGGCTTTCAACCACATGGGCCCCTCGGCGGATGATGCGGAACCAGATATGAAAGGTCGACGATTAATTCAAACCTCATACCCTCAGATAGGCAGGCGATACCCCGAAATTAGTGTCTGAAAAACTCTTGAGTTTCGTTTACGCTCAGAAGGGGTGATGATCGATTTCAAACCAATGGGACACCTGGTTGAGTCAAGCACAATCAGATTAGGGTCTACTAAGTCTTAGACCGGTGTATTTTACCCCTAAAGAGTGTCAGCTGTGGGATTTCACCCCATAAAACCCCTGACTGAGCCCGAGATAGGGTCTACGAGGAAAAGGCTTCGCGAAAAAAATGTCCACGATAAAAAGCAGAACGAGGAAAATGCACAAAACAAAATGTCCACGAGAAAAAGAAGAACAAAGAAATTGATTGACTATAAAAGAGCAGCGAGATAATACACAAGACAAAAAGGAGGCTATAAAAAGGTCCACGAGGAATTTATGCTCAATGAAACTACAGTAAACCCATACTGAGGCTACTAAAGAAAATAATATATGCAAAAGTAAACTACAAGAAGAAATACAGCCTAACTATTGATCAGAAGGCCTAGTTTCAGCTGATTATATATATAATGAGAGAGAAGGAGATATGCTTATATTATAATGCCCTTGTTTAAAAAATTAAGCTTTTCCCCCCTCATTTATCCTTAACATTTGAATAGGGTATGCAATCAAGAGATTGTAGATCCCCTCGTCACAAGCAGTGCGTGGTCTTTAATGATAAATATCCAATAAAACTAACAATAGTAATTGATTACGCCTTCCTAACACCCCCCCCCCCCCCCCACCACCACCACAACCCAGCTATTAAGCCTTAGATCATATTAAAGCACAAAAGCACACACCACAGATGCTTAAGTATGTATATAAGTGTAACGATGCATTTCACAGTAAAAAGCTGTAAAAAGTAAATAAATTATAAAAGGCTATTTGTAGGGCAAGTGGTAGTTGTTTATCTTTCGTTGAAAGTTTCCTTTGCACAAAATTTAAATAATGCCTGTACACAAAGAGATGCCTACTAGAGAATTAACCATTTGAAGGCCATATAAGCTTTTTAAACAATAAAAAATTGAGTTATTTATAATATTAAAAAAATAATCAGAGAATTTGTTAATGAAATATTGTATTTTAAAATTTCAAAACCAAAAATATCTGGTGAAAATGTTCGTCTTGTACTACATACTTGGACACAAAAAAAAGTCCTAAGCAGGGAGTGTTAAAAAAGTAAACATTTTCGATCACCATATTACTGTTCACTAAAAAAGAACGTTCACACCATTATTTAATATTTATAATACCAAAAAAAATCAAAATACTCTTACAAAAATTAGATGTTTTAAAATTAATTGCTTCTGTTATATTAATATTTTATCGGGAACGTTCGTCGTTCGCGAATGATGCACGACAAACTTTTTGACGAACGACGAACGAAAGTAAAATTCCTTATCGTTCGTCGTTCGTTTTTGGCGCCAAAAAAAGACAAAGGTTTTTTATCTTCACGGGTAAAATTTCCTTTAGAAAAAACGTCATCACTTTGTTTGAATGGCGAAGAAAGAAAATACTTTCTAAACAAAAACGTCGTCAATTTTTTTCAAAATGAAGACGACAAATGAACAACGAACGATAATTTAAAATTAAGGATGAACGACAAACGATAACTTTTGGCGAACGACAATTTTTCGCGCACGGCAA